AGAAAAACTTTCACCATCATTCACTCCATCACTGTCTTGCCAGAAGGGTGCTTTACACTACAGTTTTTAAACTGCAACATTAACACCCCTCCTTCAGAGTGCAGGCGCTGTACTTCCCATCTCCAGACTAAAAGTCGGCCTCCCGGTTTTTCCCTAAACCCCCTTCAAAATGTTCTTTGCTCACACCCCAAACAGACTCAAGTTTTAAAAAAACCATTTGTCTCCTTTCACCCCCTATCAAACATGCTCACACATGCCGCTGGAATTTTCCAAGCCCTAGCACAAAAACCCTCCTTTCCCCCCTCTCTCCAATTTTCCCCTAGGCCGACCCCTACCCCCCTTCCTTCCCACACGACTGAACAAACTTGAAGTCTTTTGTTTCGCTCCATTCTCCCCCTACATGTCCAAACCACCTAACAAACCCCTTTTCAGCCCTTGGGAAAAATTTTGGTAACCCGCACCTCCTCCTAACTTTCCCAAAATCGAATTTTCGTTTATATTCACACCACACATTTCCCTCAACAGACCCTTTCTCCACTGGGCCCCCCTTCTCCTCGCTGCAACATTCACACCCCTCTTTTCCCCATATAAAGCGTTTGGTAAAACTATACTCTCATCAAATTTCCCCCCTTTGCCCCCCAAGGACAAAGTTCTTTGTCTCCACAGACTCCTAAGTGCACCACTCACTCTTTTCCCCTCATCAATTCTATGATTCACCTCATCTTTCATAGACCCATCCGCTGACACGTCCACTCCCAAATATCTGAATACATTCACCTCCTCCATACTCTCTCCCTCCAATCTGATATTCAATCTTTCATCACCTAATCTTTTTGTTATCCTCATAACCTTACTCTTTCCTGTATTCACCTTTAATTTTCTTCTTTTGCACACCCTACCAAATTCATCCACCAATCTCTGCAACTTCTCTTCAGAATCTCCCAAGAGCACAGTGTCATCAGCAAAGAGCAGCTGTGAGAACTCCCACTTTGTGTGTGATTCTTTATGTTTTAACTCAACGCCTCTTGCCAAGACCCTCGCATTTACTTCTCTTACAACCCCATCTATAAATATATTAAACAACCACGGTGACATCACACATCCTTGTCTAAGGCCTACTTTTACTGGGAAATAATTTCCCTCTTTCCTACATACTCTATCTCTGCCAATCCCTAGGTACCTTACCCTCTTCCATACATTTATTAAATAATTGCACCAACCACTCCAAAACTATATCCCCACCTTCTTTTAACATTTCTATCTTTATCCCATCAATCCCGGCTGCCTTACCCCCTTTCATTTTACCTACTGCCTCACGAACTTCCCCCACACTCACAACTGGCTCTTCCTCACTCCTACAAGATGTTATTCCTCCTTGCCCTATACATGAAATCACAGCTTCCCTATCTTCATCAACATTTAACAATTCCTCAAAATATTCCCTCCATCTTCCCAATACCTCTAACTCTCCATTTAATAACTCTCCTCTCCTATTTTTAACTGACAAATCCATTTGTTCTCTAGGCTTTCTTAACTTGTTAATCTCACTCCAAAACTTTTTCTTATTTTCAATAAAATTTGTTGATAACATCTCACCCACTCTCTCATTTGCTCTCTTTTTACATTGCTTCACCACTCTCTTAACCTCTCTCTTTTTCTCCATATACTCTTCCCTCCTTGCATCACTTCTACTTTGTAAAAACTTCTCATATGCTAACTTTTTCTCCCTTACTACTCTCTTTACATCATCATTCCACCAATCGACTCCTCTTCCCTCCCGCACCCACTTTCCTGTAACCCCAAACTTCTGCTGAACACTCTAACACTACATTTTTAAACCTACCCCATACCTCTTCGACCCCATTGCCTATGCTCTCATTAGCCCATCTATCCTCCAATAGCTGTTTATATCTTACCCTAACTGCCTCCTCTTTTAGTTTATAAACCTTCACCTCTCTCTTCCCTGATGCTTCTATTCTCCTTGTATCCCATCTACCTTTTACTCTCAGTGTAGCTACAACTAGAAAGTAATCTGATATATCTGTGGCCCCTCTATAAACATGTACATCCTGAAGTCTACTCAACAGTCTTTTATCTACCAATACATAATCCAACAAACTACTGTCATTTCGCCCTACATCATATCTTGTATACTTATTTATCCTGTTTTTCTTAAAATATGTATTACCTATAACTAAACCCCTTTCTATACAAAGTTCAATCAAAGGGCTCCCATTATCATTTACACCTGGCACCCCAAACTTACCTACCACACCCTCTCTAAAAGTTTCTCCTTTTAGATGAAAATGATGTTGCAGAAAAACTCAGTTGTGAACTTTGTAAGGTATCCATTTCAGAATTTTGAATACCTATAAATAAACTATGTTGTTCTGCAACAAAAAATTCACAGCTCATGCTCTCATCCATCATAAATTATGAAATGAAATTTCACTTTGCCTTTCCAATTTTTTTATAAAACATTAAGTTGGATGAGAATTGGTATAGCCAAAATGTAGATCAGTGATACTAATACATGACAGAAATCTTTATAAGAAATATTTATTAAGTAATATTGACATTCAGTTTCATTAAGTAATATTGACATTCAGTTTCATTAAGTAATATTGACATTCAGTTTCATTAAGTAATATTGACATTCAGTTTCAGATTCTGTATTTCAAATCAATGTACAGTATATATACAAAATATACAATAATCAGGATGCACAGCATTTCAGGCAAAACTTAAACCAGTTTCAAGAACTACGTAGTTTAATTATTTATAAAGTGTCTATGCTAGGCATTATCAAGAAGTTTAAAAAAAAAAAAAAGATACAGGTTACAAGATGATTCATAAAATAAAAAATAAAGAATTGTAATTGTATAGTTAAAAAAGAGTGAGTGAATTTAATTTATGTACAGTGGTCCCTTGAGCTATGATGGTCTTAAGTTATAATTTGAGTTACAATTTTCCTTCATAAAGGAATTTAATATTGAGTTGCGATGAGAAATACGTTTAACAGTACATCATATGTGTACGGTGGTTGGAGCTCATGGGTGGACCTCAGCCCATAGACAAGACAGGGTAATGAAAATGTCTTAAATAGATTGATGGTGAAGAGTGTGTTGGAAGTGATTGGGAGGGAGGGAGGGAGGAACTGAAGCAGAGGGAGGGAGGAAGACTATGTATGCCAGTGGGCAGTGGGAGACTGGACAAAAGAGTGCAAATATTAAGTCTACAATTCTTTACCAGTTTCTACTGCCTGTCTACCTCTGTCCTGCCCTGCCTGCTCTAGCCAGTTCTGCCCTACCTACTCTGGCCAGTCCTACCCTGCCTGATTTGCCCTGCCCTGCCCTGCCTACTTTGGCTTGCTCTTCCCTGCCCTGCCCTGCCTTGCCATTCCCTGCCCTGCCCTGCTTTGGCCAGTTCTGCCCTGCCTGCTCTGGCCAGTCCTGCCCTGCCTACTCTGGCCAATCCTGTTCTGCCTGGTCTGGCCTGTCATGCCCTGCCCAGTCCTTCCCTGCCTGCCCTGGCCAGTCCTGCCCTGCCTGCTCTGGCCAGTCCTGCCCTGCCTGCTCTGGCCTGTCCTGCCCTGTCCTGCCCTGCCCTGCCCTGCCAGCTCTGGCCTACTTGCTCTTCCCTGGCCTATCCTGCCACTTTGCCTGGGCAAAGTAGCAGGATAGGGCAGCCCATAAAAGATAGGCTCACTCTGCTGTTGGGTGCCAATTCCTCTGGAGATTTCAAGTTTAACCCTGTTTGTTTACCATTCAGAAAACCTCAGTTTTTAAATAACAAAAAGTATCCAAGGGCAGGTTGGGTGTGTTGGCCTCTCAGAACAAATTACCATAAAATCGTGTATTTTGGGGTTTGAATTATGATAATTTTGAAGTATGATACGTCTCCTGGAGTGAATTAATATCGTAACTCAAGGGACTACTGTACTTTCAATATAATATATCAAAAAAAGTATCCAAAACAGTTGGGATCCTCTCCAAGATACGATACTACGTGCCGCAAAATGCCCTTCTCACACTATACCATTCACTCATTTATCCATACCTCACCTATGCTATTTGTGCTTGGGGATCAACTGCAGCAACACACCTAAAGCCAATAATAACTCAACAAAAAGCCGCAGTAAGAATAATCACTAAATCCCATCCCTGGCAACACACCCCCCCACTCTTCATAGATCTAAACTTACTCCCTGTTCAGAACATCCACACTTACTACTGTGCAATCTACATATACAGGACCCTAAATTCCAGTATTAACCTTGACCTAAAATGCTTTCTTTATTGTTGTGACAGGACCCACAGGCATAACACCAGGCACAAACATCTCTACGACATTCCCCGTGTCAGACTAAACCTTTACAAAAATTCAATGTATGTCAAAGGCTCTAAAATCTGGAATACCCTACCTGAAAACTCTAGAACTGCAGAGCAGACACATTCATCACCTTCAAAACTACCGTTAGAAAAACATCTTATCTCCCTGATAACTACATAAAAACCACCTGGTGGTTCACACTTACACTCACTCACCCATTTGACTATAAGCACAGAAATACGTATCTTAATCTTATAATAATGATTCCTAACTAGTCATAAGTTTGCCTGTGATACTCCAATATATTATTATTATTATTATAACCAAAAAGAAGCGCTAAGCCACAAGGGCTATACAGCGCTGCTTATACTCCAATATAGAAACTATGTATTGTGCCAAAACAAAAGCATTCACATTGCTAAACTCACAAACTAGTATTTAGTCACTTAGTATTTAGTCAACTTACTCCACAATTTATAATAATTTAGGGTTAAGAATTATTCTAAGTTTTCCCAAAATGCCTAGCCATGCTAGGTGTTCTAGTGGCCCCCTCTGTAATTAGTATTTTATTACATGTAAACCACACAATAACCAAAATATGTAAACCCTGCATTGTAATCCTTATAGAGAATAAACTTCGATTTAATAAAGTTTTATCTTTTATACAGCTAAAGACCCCATCAGTACATGAGAAAGTGTTTGTGAGATACCAAGTGTCTCATGATCCTGAATGCAAAAGTTTTAGAGCCTCACTGGGGATATTTAATCATACCTACTACACAAAAGAGACAGCGTGCTACAGCCCTCTCATACTTCAAGCTACACTCTCCAAAAACAGTAAGCTTTTCATAGAATTTTATTATACTGTCCATAAAGGTGATGAGACTATTCTTAACAAAATGTTGATGTTGCTTCAAGAATTTGGGAAATGTTATTACAATCACTGCAACATAAATTAACTCTGTAAATGTGACTGATTCAAAAGATAAAATTGATTAATAGGAAGAGTAAATTAACTCCATAGAGAATTGCAATAGATGAGTTGAATAATTTAATATCATGTTGTCCTGTAGGCCAAGGCGGCTTCAAAGATGAACTGGCATTGAAGTTTGGACTTGTAGATGTACGTACAGCTGAAATAGACTTGCTGGGTACTATTCACGTCAAATTGCAACTCTACCCTCCATTCCTATTACATGCTATGGCTTACACTGCCACTAGCATGTGGAGTAGATGGAGAGACATTATGGTAAGAAAAATTATGTATCTTACGGGATAATTTGCTTTTGTTATGAATTTCAGGCTGTATTGGTCTCAGACATTTAAAGGCTGTATTAGTCTTGGGACATTTAAAGGCTGTATCATTCTCAGGACATTTAACAGTCATATTGGTCTCAAGACATTGCAGATTTATCTCTTGATATGTAGCTGATTTTTATATTTATAATTTACCTCTTGGGCTAAATTACAGTAGTGTTCATATTAATTGGGACAATGATGAAATAAGACATTTATTTGGAAAATTAATTTTAATTTGAAAAATACAAAGCAATGATATGACAAATAAAATGATTGATTTAATAAGAGATATGACTACCCTTTTGCTTTTACAATGTTGAACACATTTTTGCAAGTTCTTCATCTTGTTACCAGGTCCTAATAATAGCAGCAGTTATCTTCTTCACAGTTGAACATTCCTGTGTTGCAATCCTGCGTTTGGTTATTGCCCATAGATTCTCATTTGGGTTGAGGTCAGGAGAGTTTCCAGGCCAACTTAGAACACTGAGCCCAATCTCTTTGAAGAATATCAGAATTTTTCAGGAAGTGTGGCATGGAGCAAGATCCTGCTGGAAAATGCCTTCTCCATCAGGAAAGTCTCTCTTCATAATGAGAAGCAAATGAGTTGCCAGGATTGCCTTGTATTTGTCACTGATCATTGTTCCCTCAACAAAAGCAAGTCATCCAGGGCCTTTAGCAGTAAAACTACCCCAAAACATCTTAAGTGGGTGTTTTGGCGCTTATTGAATGTGTTCATTTTGACGAGGTTCGTCTTTGCTCTGTCTCACTACCACTGATCTGTACCCATGTACTTCAAAATCCTCTTCATTTGAAAATATAACTTTCTCCATTCATCTATCGAGTGTCCACTGTAGCCATTTTTTCTTCATAGCAGCAGTCAATATTTGTTTCTTTACCAGCTTTCTGTCAGTTCTGCCAGCTTCAAGGAGCCTTCATTGAACAGTTGAAGAATCATCATTTACACCAGCTGAAGCCAAATCTCCCTGTATAATCTTTGCTGGTTTTCTTTACACTATTTTTCATGATAACCTTGTCATCATGAGGTGTTGTGTTGTCTTCCACATCTTCCTTGATGCAGCATTCCACAGTCACCAATGACATCAGCTCTATTCAGAATCCAACCAACAGTTGACTTTCCTAGGCTCAGATTTTCAGTGATATGTCTGATACTCAAAACAGCATGTTTTCTAAGAGCTACAATACTTGTACAATTCCTAGGTGTAACATCCATCATGAATTTCAGCAGTAATCATGAACTGAAGGGAAGAACTTGGCAAAATTACACTCACTCACGGAGCATGCTTGCAGAAATAGCCTTACAGAACAACAGCTGTTGTAGCACTGATGAGAGTTGCAGGGTAACACCACAGCTGGATAGTTGTCACAAGTCAGTAGCAAACTCTTATATAAAGAAAAGAATGCAAACTACATTAATTAGGCTGGAGACCGAGACATATTATGAGATAATCACAAAATTTACTCCTGTCCCAATTAATTTGCACACTACTGTATATACTGTATACAGTATGACACCACAAATCCAGACTGACTGAGGATGAAACCTACTCAGACTAATGATTCTTTTTTTTATTTCTAATGCCCTAATTAAACAACATATACATGTATATACAGTATGTCTGTGCACTGTTTGCCCCTCTTCTCATAGGATGGTTTCTTGAAAATTAATTATAATTAATAAGATAGAGGCATGAGTGGCAAATCCTCTAATATTATTTTTCATATTTTTGGGTATTTCATGGATTTTGGGTTTTGGAAGGTTTGGCAAAAATATTTTGAATATCTGAAGGTCCTAAATTTTTAAGTTTGGATATATGGTGTCTTACTGTTTACCTTTTAGTTTTATATTCTTGGCCTAGATATTTGCTAATCATAGCTGATGGTTGTTCATCATGTACACAGCACCAAGCTCAGGATGAGATTAATACTCTGACACTGAGTGCAAAGACTGTGGTGCAGGCAGTAGCTGCAGATGTAATTGTGAAGGCTGACCTCCCGCAAGTGTCCATTTCCACCCCTGCCTCTTTCCTGGCAGATTATTTACAAGGACAAACCCACCATCTTCTCTTGGAGATGAAGGAAGACCAGCTCTTGCTTGACATTGCTCATGGTGCACAAGCATGTTGTGATGTTACTGGGTGAGTGTCTTTTGTTAGTTATCATCCTAGCAAAGGAAATGAATTGTGGAATTATGTATAATAAATAATGTAAAGGTTGGAATAAATTGAGAATGTTGCATAAAGTAGCATAATTATTATTATTATTATTTTATTATTAGCACACTGGCCGATCCCCACCAAGGCAGGGTGGCCCGAAAAAGAAAAACTTTCACCATCATTCACTCCATCACTGTCTTGCCAGAAGGGTGCTTTACACTACAGCTTTTAAACTGCAACATCAACACCCCTCCTTCAGAGTGCAGGCACTGTACTTCCCATCTCCAGGACTCAAGTCCGGCCTGCCGGTTTCCCTGAATCCCTTCATAAATGTTACTTTGCTCACACTCCAACAGCATGTCAAGTATTAAAAACCATTTGTCTCCATTCACTCCTATCAAACATGCTCACGCATGCCCGCTGGAAGTCCAAGCCCCTCACACACAAAACCTCCTTTACCCCCTCCCTCCAACCTTTCATAGGCCGACCTCTACCCCGCCTTCCTTCCACTACAGACTGATACACTCTTGAAGTCATTCTGTTTCGCTCCATTCTCTCTACATGTCCGAACCACCTCAACAACCCTTCCTCAGCCCTCTGGACAACAGTTTTGGCAATCTCGCACCTCCTCCTAACTTCCAAACTACGAATTCTCTGCATTATATTCACACCACACATTGCCCTCAGACATGACATCTCCACTGCCTCCAGCCTTCTCCTCGCTGCAACATTCATCACCCATGCTTCACACCCATATAAGAGCGTTGGTAAAACTATACTCTCATACATTTCCCTCTTTGCCTCCAAGGACAAAGTTCTTTGTCTCCACAGACTCCTAAGTGCACCATTCACCCTTTTCCCCTCATCAAGTCTATGATTCACCTAATCATTCATAGACCCATCCGCTGACACGTCCACTCCCAAATATCTGAATACATTCACCTCCTCCATACTCTCCCCTTCCAATCTGATATCCAATCTTTCATCACCTAATCTTTTTGTTATCCTCATAACCTTACTCTTTCCTGTATTCACTTTTAATTTTCTACTTTTACATACCATACCAAATTCATCCACCAGCCTCTGCAACTTCTCTTCAGAATCTCCGAAGAGCACAGTGTCATAAGCAAAGAGCAACTGTGGCAACTCCCACTTTATGTGTGATTCTTTATCTTTTAACTCCACGCCTCTTTCCAAGACCCTCGCATTTACTTCTCTTACAACCCCATCTATAAATATATTAAACAACCACGGTGACATCACACATCCTTGTCTAAGGCCTACTTTTACTGGGAAATAATCTCCCTCTTTCCTACATACTATAACTTAAGCCTCACTATCCTCATAAAAACTCTTCACTGCTTTCAGTAACCTACCTCCTATACCATACACCTGCAACATCTGCCACATTGCCCCCCTAT